CTTCTTTCCCTGGGCTAACGTGGGCAGGTTGAGGTAGATGGGCTCGAGTTTGACGGGGCCGGGATGGCAGGTGAGTGGAAGGAGTTGACAGAAGGTCAGGTTGGTGTCTGGGCACTGACTTCCGGCCCAGGCCTCTAGCTCCCCTAGGGCAGCCCCTGCCAGGTGGTTGGTCTGGGGAGATGTCACTGAGGGTGAGGCAGGGGGCCTGCAGGACTCTGGCTCTCTGCTGTCCTTCTGCTCCTCTCTCTCCTGTACTTAGGCTGCACCTGGCAGGAGGTGCGTGCCTCTCCCCACAACCTCCGTTCCCTTTGTCTCATCGTTTGAGTGCCCGACCCATCACCCATCACCCCTTCCTTCGCCAGGTGTCTCTGCTCAGCCACCGCCTCCCAGCCCAGCTGCTCTGGGCTTCCGGACAGTGGATAAACAGAACCCTGGGCGGGGCTGCTCTCGCACTGTGCCTGCCCTGGTGGGCTGGGCTCTGCTCAAGGAGGGCAGTGAAACAGGGCTTTGGCAGGTCTGCAGGTATTGGAGGGCTGGGGAGGTGGCTCCAGAAGGTGCCACTGGACTGGCCATGGATGCCCAAACTCTGCTACTCACTAGTGTGTATCTGATGAGCATTTACTGAACCCCTGTGAACCAGGTGCAGTGCTAGGGTCCTGTAGATAGCTCAGTGAACAAGACAGATGAGGTTACTGCCAGATGGGAGCTTACCTGCTGTAGATAGCACTCTCCGCTTTCCCCTGTGGGTAGGCAGAGTGAGCCAGCGGTCCTGTGTGCACCTGGCGCTGTCCCTGGAATATCCCCTGCATGCTCAGTCTAGCGAAGCTGCCTTGCATCTCTCGATGGCCGCGCTTTTGCAGGCGTGCACAGCCTGTGAGATCACTGGACCGCGTTAGAAGGGGCTCTCTCACTGGGGTCCTGTGGAAGGGAGTTTGCTTATAGAAAATGGGGTTCTGGCTGGGAGGCAGGGGCCAGGAGAGTAGATGCAAACTCGGAAGCCTTCTGTTTTTCCACTGAAGTCTCCCCAGAACCTGAATCAGAGCAGATCTGTTTTTCTATCTGCCGGGCCATCTAGTGCTAGCACGCATTGGTGGGTGGCTTCTATGTGCTGGACGCTGGGCTAAATGCTTCACTTAGCTTATCTCAGGGAATCTTCACAACAGCCCTGGGAGGTAGACACTACTCGTATCTCCATTTTATGGATGAGGAAACTGAAGTTCAGGGAAATTAAGAAATTGCACCAAAGTCGCACAGCTAGAAAGTGGCAGAGCTGGGAACGGAGCTCTGTCTGTCTGATCCGAGCCCGACCCGTCCTGCTTTGCTGTCACCTATTAAAAATGGCCCCACATAGGTACAGGCATATCTGTATCCTGCATGTGACTTTGTGTACAATTTGATTCTGAAAGTTTGCAAACCATTGGTGTGATGAAAAGAATGTTGATACGTAAGTCCTGGGATCAGGTCTAACACCAGAAATTAGGTAGCTTGAGAACTTGGTTCCTGCCTTGAGCCTGTTTCTGCTTCCAGGGTAAGGTGCTCACACAGCCCCTTGGCAACGGGGGCCTGGGTGCTTCCATCTTCCCCGTGGTGCTCGGGGAACTGGCCCTCCCTCTTGTCCCAAGATGGCTCCTTTGGGAGAAGATAGCCATGGGACCCCTTCTTCTGAGGTGCTATCGGGAAATCTTGGTGACCTTGAGGATCACTTCATCCAGCCCACTTGAGTTACAGATGGAGAAGCTGAGAAGCAGAGGCCCAGTTACTAGTTAACCAGCGGATGAAGTGGGACTAGAACCCAGGCCTCCTGCCCAAGTGCACGTTCTTTCCTCCCTCCGGCTACTCTCCAAATGGGGATGCCATCCAGAAAATCGTGTGCCAGTCCTCTCTGCCTGCCCTCTTGTCTGCTCTCACCTAGTTTCTCCTGTTGGCCAACAGGCTGGCCTTGACCCTCGGGTCCTATGGGTCCCCATTCGTCCTGGCACTTGAGGCCCAAGATGCAGACAGATCTCCTCTGCCTCCCTTCTCTCTGCCTTGAAATGCTTAGTCCCTCGGGCAAATGCCTGTGGCCTGCCCCGTGCTGTGTATGCCGTGTATGTGTATGAATAGGGAGGCAGAGGTGAGGAAGGGCAGTGCCACCGCTCGCTTCTGTCCAGGCCCTTTTCTGGGTCTCTGCCTGGGCAGCCACCGGAGAGTGGGTCTCCAGGCTTCAGCTCCAGGGAGGTGGGTGGCTGGGAAGGAGGCGGGGCCTTTTGCTGGCAGGCGCCACTGCGGACAGCTGTGCTGTGTCGGTGCCTCAAGCCTAGCTCTGTGCAGTGTCAGGGCCTGGAGCCAGACAGCCCCATTATTTAGGTGCTGGGACTGCTGGGAGGTGGGGAGGCCAGACTTGGGGCGGGGGGTGGGTGCGGGCTGGAGGGAGAGACACGAGGTGCCAGGGCTCACTGGCCCTGTGTCCGTGCCCCTTAACACGAAGCCCAGGATTAAGACGGACCTGGGAGTAGAGCCAGCAGCTTGGGGTCGGCAGGCAGTAGCAGCCTGGGGGGCCCTGGGGCCACGTCTTGGCGGCAGGTGCAGCTGGTGCACACCTGTGTCCCTCCACGGTTGGAGGGGTGGGTTGTGGGTCCTTTGGTGGCTCTTCCTCACTTGCTCTGTCCTCTGCCAGGCCTCAGGGAGGCCCCCTGCTCTCTGTCCCTTTTGTTCTTTGCTCTCTGTTTTCATCTGTCTGCGCCCCGCCTCTCACCGAGTTCAGCCTCCGCTCAGGAACTCTGCTCCTCTTCTCTCCCAAGGTGGCCTCCCTGCCGACTCCTGTCCCCTTGGTCTTTATCTCCTCCTCCTTACACCTGTCTCCCTTCTTCCCTCCCTCCAGCACCCCTGAGCCTTCCTCCTCGCCTCTCTTCCTCTGCCCCTCTGGGCTCTATTTGGAAGTCTCTCTCTGGCTCCCCATACCTCTGCCTGTTCTGGCCTGGTCTCCACGTCCCTGTGTCCCCGGGGGCCTGTGCGTGGGTGGGGGACGGGGGTGTCTCTAGAGAAGAGTCAGTCGGTTTCTCCACTCCAGCTGCAGGCTGGTTGCCATGGCGACAGGGTCAGAGGGCCCCCACTGCAACAGCTGAGCTGTGGGTTGGGGGAGGGGTGGGGACCATGGGGCCAGCCTGCTCCCCGGTGTCCCTAGTGCCCACGGGGAGCCAGAGCCCCAGTGGTGGCCTCACACCCACTGCTGGGTGGTTCCCAGACTCAGACTACAGCGTCTCAGGTGCTTGGGCAGACACTTCGGGCCCCAGCAACCCTCCATATATACCGGGCCACTTCCCCGTTTGCTCCTTGTCCCCTGATCAGACTCCTCACTGTGACACTCTGAGACTCCTCCCTTTTCCATCGTGGCCGACCTCTGCCCAAGCTCAGACGCCCACCTCCTGTGCCCCTGCCCAGGTCGCGATCCTCAGGCGCCCAGACCCTCATCAATCGGGCTGCTGGTGAAGGAGCCCCTGGGTATACTGAGGCCAGGCAGGCAGGTGAGACAGAGGTGGGGGTCCAGGTGTGTCCTGTGTCCCTGAGATGGGAGCACACCAGAGCGATTCCTGGAGGAATGAGTTTAGATGCAGGCAGCACCTGTCTCAAGGGCGGAAGCCTCACGGGGGCTCCAGTCAGGGCCTGGGTGGCTCGGATACGTGGCATGTGAGAGCACGTGCACGTGCCCCTGCACGGTAGCCAGGAGCAGGGCCCAGCCAGCATTTCTTCTGCAAGGCTGCTAGGGAAGGGTCATTCCTGAGCTAGAGTAGGGTGCCCTGGCCTGCTTAGGAGCTTCCTGTCCCAGCACCACCCAGGGGTGAGGTAGCCTGCCAAGACTGAGGGTGTCAGCCACTTCTGGCCCGCTTTGGGGTCTGGAGAGTGTTGGGAGGGCGGCTCCTCCGTGTTGTGTCTGCTGTAGCCCCCGGAGAGGAGCTATGTAAATATTTGTGCAGAGCCTTCGTCCACAATGAGAGCAGAGTTTGACGGTGGCCTTGGGCTCCGGGGAGGGGGGCTGTGGGCATCAGGAGGGCCGGCATGGGTGTGTGAGATGGGGTGAGACTCAGCCTCTTTGCTGCCTAGAGGTGGCTTCCAGGGCGATGTGACTTGAGAGGTTCCAAGAAAGCCCTTTTGCACTTAAATATCCCCTCTGAGGATGCCCCAGATGCCTCCACTAGGGAAGGTTTTGCTTGGGTGGAGAATGAGCCTTGCTTTTGAAAAACATGTTCTCTCTCATCACCTGCCCCTGCATGTAGGGGGGAATGTGGAAATATCAGCCCCTTAGTGCGATTGACTTTGACAGAAACTTTCCTCCCTGATATGGGAGCAGGGCTAGAAGAGGTGGTCGTGGTGGGACACCTGGGACACGAGACAAGAATGGGAGACTCGGGGCACCTGGGTGGCTCAGTCACTTAGGCGTCCGACTCTCAATCTCAGCCCAGGTCATGATCTCACGGTTCGTGGGATTGAGCCCCGCATCGGGCTCTGTGCTGATAGCATGGAGCCTACTTGGGATTCTCTTCTGCCCTGTCTCTCTCTCTCTCTTTCTCTGTCCCTCCCCCCACTCTTTCTCTCAAAATAGGTACATAAACTTAAAAAAAAAAGAATGGGAGAGGCTCTGGATGAACCGCTGTCCCCCAAAATCCCCTGCAGGCTTTAATCTAGGGGCCATAAAGCTCTCCATGCTGTGGACTGTGGGTGGCCTACACAGGCCTCTCTCTGGTTTGGTCATCTGTCTACCAGACAAGAAGTGTCTTCTCCTTGGCCCATATTCTCCCTCCTTCCCAGTTCTGGACGAGATTGCCGTGTCTGACCTCCCCCGCTAGATCATAAGCTCCACGAGGGCAGAGAGCAGCCTGTCTGTTTTGTTCTCTGTGGTGTCTGTGTCTAGTCCACACTGGAGCTTGGTACAAATGCATGAATGAATGAATGAATGAATGAATGAATGAATGA